GGCTTTCAAAGGAGCATTGCTATGCTTGAGGGCTTAGCGAGGCAAGAGGTAACAATGCGCGGCGCTCCTGTTGCCTTGTTACACGCTGCTTGCTCATTAAGTCTGCCGTCGTGAGTTTAGGTCTGGAAATAGATTATGACGGCGAGAGAAGGAGGTAGTGGGAGGAAATAAGGATAAAGCGAGAGAGGGGGGGGAGACAGATAGACATGCAAACAGACAGGAAGACAAATAGACAAGTGACAGACAGGCTTAAAGGAAAGGAGAAAGAGACAGACAGACAAACAAGCGAAGAGGAAAAATCAGTTCAATAATTGACCTCATTTTGGCGAGACCGTTTGGAGTGGAAGTGAATCTGGAACAACGAACTTAATCTAATAAAGACATTCAACAGACGCAGAAGTATGCTGGATGTTCTCCTCTTGAACGATTCGGTTCATCAATACAACTTGCACAGAGAACAATGATACTATAACCGTCATTTTTAGGATTTTATTTATGTATGTATGCATGTATATAGTGTATATAGATATAGATAGATAGATAGATATATAGATATATATATATATAATATATATATAACCACATGAATTTATTTATGTATATGTATGAAAATAAATCGTTATATTTCTAATCACGACTTCCTTTTATAATTAACCGAAATGAATCATTTATTCGTCAAAGACTCGTGAAGTTCAGCGCCATTTTCTATTCACTTATATGACACACACACACACACACACACACACACAACACACACACACACACACACACACACACACACACACACACACACACACACACACACACACACACCACACACACACACACACACACACACACACACACACACACACACACACACACACACACACGCACACACACACACACACACACACACACAGATTTCAAAACTAAACATGATTGCCTAAGAAGGAAGAAAACCAAGACACACACACATGTCACAATATCCAAAAGCAGATTTTTCAATGTACAAATTTCGACGATTCCGAGCGAGGCAGGCAAGACCGAGCAAAAACATGCTCTTGTCACTCACGCTCCTCACCTCCTAAGAGGAATATGGCCGGAGAGAAAAGTTCAGAGGGAAGTTAAAGTGAAGTTTATGTGGCGCGACTTGGGAAAGTACAAAGGACGAAAAAGGGAGAGTCTTCTGCAAGAAGAGCAAGTCTCCCTAATGGGAACAAGGATCAGGGTGTAAGCTTCTTTGGCCGGAAGTTGATGTGGTCTCTTCTAAGAGGGCTCCGCCGCTCGAATCTGGATTAGGTGATAATATGGATATATATATATATATATATATATATATATATATATATATATATATACTATATATATATATATATATATATATATATATATATATATATATATATATATATATATATATATATATATATAACCAACGAACAAATTAACCACTGCTTCGCAGAGGTGATGGTGATAATAATTATGATGATAATAACAATAATGACAATGATAGTAGTAATAATGATAATAACCATGATAAAAGTAGTAACAATAATGGTAATAAGTATGATAGTAAGAGACATTATTAATAATTTTAACAATAGTGATAATAAATATGATGATATAATGATGATAAATAGCAATGATAACAATAAAATTATGATAATACTGGTAGCAAAAATAATAATGATAATGATCAAGCCAATGATGATAGCAGCAATGATAATGACAGCAATAATGATATCTATGATAGTAATGATAATGATAGTAAAGAATGGTAATGATTGTGATGATGTTAAAAAATGATAATGATAATGGTAATGATAGCAACAACAATTATGAAAACATTAATTACAATAATTATAATAACATTGATAATGATAATCATAGCAATAATAATAATATGAATAATGATGATGTTGATAATGGTATTGATCATGATGGTAATGATAATGATAGTGATGATAATGAGGATGATAATAATGAAAAAAATTATATAATGCACATGCTTACGATGATGATAATGATTAATTACTTTTAGTTCTCTCATCATGGCGGTTCGCAGCTGCTATCGGCAATTTCTTTTTTCCCTATTTATCACCGTCTCTCCCTTTTTCCCTCCTTTTTAAAACGATAGAATGGCTTATTTCCTGCACTCTCCCGCGTTCCCCTTCAATCTCCTGTTTCCCACAGAATACTAGCAGACTGTGACAAAACTCAATTCCTGGAGAGATAATGCGGTTGGGAACTATTGTCATTGGCAGGAATGTGTGAGAGAGATAGTAATCCTATTAACTGTCATGATGAGCACAGACACATTTCGAAACAGCGAAAGAGTTGCTAACGTCCTTCATGTTCTCCATACACGAACCAAGGCGTGAACATACACAAACGTGTGTATGCTGATGTGTGTTTTGGTGCCTGTCTGTAAGTCTGTCTCTTTCTCTTTGTCTGCCTTTTCGTGTTCTCTTCTTTGCAAGATTTGTCTCCGGCACGTTTGGCGAGCGACGCCATGTTATCATCATTTCTTGATGCAGTTTTGCCTTGATTAATATTGACTCCTGTTGCGTTAGAAGATGAGCAGGACAAACAAATAAAAATTCACACTCAGACACATTCAATCCACGTCAAACACATCCACGCTCATCCGTAGAGAATACTCTCATTGTTGCTGCTCTTTTTGCCTCTTCTTAACTTGTTGGTCACTAATGTTTAATTCCCGGTTTGATACATAGAGGCGACTCCATGCTGTGCAGATGGAAGTCCAAATATATCACAGACGGCGTTTCTGGCTAGTGAAGATGTTTTCACGATCTGCTTGTGTTTTCTGACTGCTTTTTATCCAGTGTTAGTATATCCCTTTATTCTTGTGTTCATGATCCTGTTGATCATTAATACTCGATCTAGCTGCATGCATTTAACTCCTTCGGTATCATCGTCCATTTTTGTCATAGTTCGTTGTTATGGGTGAATATCACTTTCATTTTATTTCCTTTTCGCTTTCTTGTTATTTCCTTTATATCATTTTATCATTTTTTTGTTTTGTTTTATTTTCTTCATTGTTTCAACCTCCATTTTCCCGAGGTCGTTGAACGCCTCTTGCATTTCCTTCACGGTTTCTGAAATGGAAATGATATCATCTGCGAATCATACATGGCTTGCTCTTCCCATTCGCCCTCTCCATTTCCCTGCCTATCATCTTGAAAACGCTTGCTAGACTGTGAAAGACCCTGTTATTGTGATGTTGTATTTCTTTATTGGAGGATATGGTACCTTCATTCTCTTATTATTGTGCTGAATATCGAATTGCAGCGTGTCCTCCTACTAAAGGGGTTTTCATAGTCTTTAAAAGCTGGTAATTTGTTATACTCTGTTCTCGCATGACGTTGGTCCTTGGAATGCAGGTGAACCATGGTTGAATATCCACTTCTGAATCCTGTTTGTTTGTTCATCATCTTAGTAAACACTTTGTCATTCTTTTCTAAAAACTTTTAAAGCACAATTTATATTTACTTGGCAAGGTAATTAATATACACTTAATAAACATGAGCAGCTACATTACAGAACCATTCATGCATATACATAGAGTAAATAAATGAGCTGATTGATTGAGAACTCTTCCCGAATTCTTTGGGGCGTCTTGGTCGGGCGTCCAAGAGGACAGACTCCTTCTTGTCGTGTCCCTTCTGGCTCTCTCTCTCTGCCTTTCGGTGTGTTTGTTTGTCTTTTGATGAACCTGAATTCTTTTCTCAATCTCTCTCCTTTAACTGTTTCTCTGGTCATATCCATGTTTTCTTTTTTTCCAGTTTATGAATTTAGATTTGTTATGCTCTTTGTCCTGCTGTTCTCTGTTTACTTTGCATCTTTTCCCCTCGTTGTGGGAGATTGCTTGTTATTTTTGCGTATTGACTTTTCTTCGGAACTTTTGCATTTCCTATCTTTTATGTGGTTTCTCTGATCACTTGTGTTGAATTAGGATGTAAATTTTCAACGTCGTCCTCAGTTTCCACCGCCGCCTGGAGCTTGCTTTTAATCTCCAGCTGAGTCTTTCTCTTCTCTCCTATAAAAACACGTAATGTAATCTTCCCGAAAATAGTTTGTTCTTTTAAGCTCGGGAATCCCATTTGCTTGACCTCAGGGCATTCTGTGATTACTCTTTAAATTCGTCTTTTTTAATGGCTAACATTTTGATGCTGTTGCTCTGATCTGGTAAGAAATCTATCACGTTATTTGTTAATGCGTTTGGGCGCCAGTAAGTCTATTTTCGAAATTCTTTTGAAACTGTGTTCGATATTACTGAATTGTACTCTATATAATCATTATGTAACAATTTGTGCTCCCTTGTCTACCCTACTCCAAACATCCCTACACTTAATGCTCTTTTTTTTCTTCAGAGTTCCTTATCATTGTGATATATGTTTTGTTTTCTTGGTTAACTGTTTGCCTGATTACCTACTTGTTCATTTGCTTTATATTGCGTGGGCGCATGTACCTGGATAATTTTGAAGAAGTAACTTACAATGCAAGCGATCCTATCAAAAACATTATTAGGTTTTACAATATCCCCTTTGATCTCTCTGTTTATGTATCTATATCTATATCTATATCTATATATATATATATATATATATATATATATATATATATATATATATATATATATATATATATATATATATATATATATATATATTATATATATATATTCCCAGGATATCTTCTTCTTCAGTGGCAGAATATCTTTTTGGCGTCTTGTGGTTGAATGAATTTCTCCACCTTTGCTCTTCCTTAATATCCTCCGCCATTTGATTTCCAAATTCGTGTAACTCTTCTTTGCTCTTTTGCTTGCATAATGGCTGAGGCTTTGTCCAGACAGCTCACTAACTTTTGGCACAGTGCCTGCAAGTTGCAAGCACAGGAAACAGTGCGCTGTGATTCAACAAAATCGACCTGTTAAGAGGTCGGGGGGGGGGGGGGGGGTGTTGCCGCTTTTTGTTTCTGGTGAGATAAGATAAGCG